GGGAGATTCAGAAGTTCTGTTGTCTTCTCTTCTTTGCATCCATGGCGTCCAGGATGGGCTGCCTCTTGGCGGTGTAGCGCTGCCTGAGCTCCTCGATCTCCCGCTCCATCATGGGATCCAAGGCGGTCAATCGCATCTGCAGCTCCTCAAAGTCCAGGTTCTTGAGCTGAGGAAGGAAACACACACAAATAACAATGGAAAAAGGGGATGACTCATATTTGGTTCTGTGTAAAGGATATTTTCGGTGCTGCTTCTGTTTTTCTATTTCTAGCCACTAAAGCTGGCAGATGTTACTCACAAAGTCAAAGTCTCCGTCCTGAGGCACCTTCCAGTTGTCAGGGAAGACGTTCTTAGACTGGATGTGGTAGCCGGGCTGCTCCTGGGGCTGGTTGTGGTTGTAGTTCTCCTGCTGCTGGGCGGCCTTGTTGGAGTCCTGCTTGTCAAAATAGTCCATGAAGGATGGACGGATCGGCTGCTGGGGGGTGGCATGCCCTGAGGAGGAAGAGGAGGAGGAAGAGAGTGGGGTATGAATACATCGTCAGTGGAAAAGACGACTAGTATTTTGTCAGAAATCTCTGCAGGTTGTTTTTTTTTAAACTCATCATTGGGGCTAAGACGCATAAATTAATTGGGTGTGTTGCTGAACTGGGAAAAAAAAATTGCTGAAGCTTTATATTGATCAGCGAAGTCTACTCCCACTGACAATATTCCGGGTAGAGCCCTAGAAACACCAACTCCAGTACTTCCATCACATTCCAATATGAAGAGGTCAATGTGTTTGCTCACTCCTCATAGATCCCTGGTCTTCCTCCTCCTCTTCATCATCGTCGCTGTTGATAACCATGGTGCCGAGGTCTGACTCCAGCATGGTGCTGCCGTGTTCGATCATGGTCTGCGCTCCGTCACTCATAGTGCTGGTGGCCCGCATGGTCCCTGCACCCTCCGAACCAGACTTCACCATCGTGTGAGAGTCCACCTCCGTCTCCTCCTCCTGGACAAAAACAAAGACAGTTGATCATATCATCTAAACGTATTCCATACGGATTGTTGTTGTTGTTGTTGTCATGACAGGATGATTACAGAGTTGTCGTCCTCCTCCTCCAGCTCTCTCTGCTGCTCCTGCTGCCTCTTGGCTTTCATCTCCATGGACTCAGTGATCAGGTCTCTCAGGATTGTGACCGGCTTGGCCTGGCTGATGAACGGGTGCTGGACATTCACAAGAGCAGGGGAGGTTAAAAAGGCTTTTGGAGCTTTCTTACACAATGACAATACAAAAAAAACAAAAAATGTGTGAATGTTTGCATGTACTTAATAAAAGTTTTCCTGAAGCAGAGTCTATAAGAGGCACTTATGTTCTGTTGTAAAATGATTATATCTGTTAGTGTGAGGGTTCTTCGTCCAACCTGTAGAAGCTGTGTTGCAGTCGCTCTCTGCTCTGGATTTTTGACCAGACACTTCTTCACAAAGTCTGTGAACTCATCTGACCAAAGCTCCGGCTTCCTGAATGTTGGAGGAGGGTTGGTTGGGATCATGAAGATAGCCTGCAGGAGAAGGGTGGGGACATCAACTCAGCTGTTCCTTGGTAGTTATAAGCTCCCACTTCTTCAACAAACAGCATTTACACTCACCCTCATGGGGTGGATGTCAGCGTAGGGAGGTTTGCCCTCAGCCATCTCTATGGACGTGATGCCCAGAGACCAGATGTCGGCCACACAATTGTAGCCGATCTCCTGGATCACCTCTGGGGCCATCCAGAACGGAGTACCGATCACAGTGTTTCTCTTTGCCATTGTGTCCTACAGAGAAAAACAATTCTGGTATCATTTTATGAACTTTGTACATACAAGTCTTTTTATTGCTTATATTTAATGTTATTCTTTTTTTAACATTGAGAGCACAGTTACCAAAGACAAATTCCTTGTGTGTGTTTAAGCATACATGGTCAATAAAGCTGAGTCTGATTCTTCTCAACTTTAATGAACAATGAGGTTTTCAGAATGATAGATTGATTCATAAAATGATTATACATCCCAAGTAGTGTGACAGTCACACAAACACAAAAAAACCTCAAATGTTACCGTTAGTTGTCCAGCAACTCCAAAGTCTGCCAGTTTAGCGTGACCCTCTGTGTTTAGGAGGATGTTTCCTGCCTTGATGTCCCGATGGATCTTCCTCATGAAGTGAAGGTATTCTAGACCCTTAAGCGTCGACTTGAGGATCGTAGCAATCTCATCCTCTGTCAACTGATGTGAGAAGGAAGAAACAAAAACAAGGAGATGAAATAACATCCAAGAGAAAAGTAGGAAGTCAAACTGAGTGACGCAGTTATGACTTCATGTATTTTCTGAATTTCAGTCAGTAGTTCTGCCAGTTAAGTCACAGACACAATATAACAGTATTATTATGCCACTATACATAGGACTGAGGACATACTCTGCAATCTGTTTTCAGCTTAAACTGTTCATTACTATTAGAAAATAGAGAGTTGGAAAAGTTTGGTATATATGCATACCATACAATAGCAGAATCAAAGCAGTAAACGCAAGTTTTGCAATTTACTTTACAGACATAAAAAAAACATACGATAATCTTTGACTAAAACACATCCTAGAAATATAAACTCTTGAACATTTGAGGATCATAAGGGCAACGCAGCCACATTTGTCTGGAAACACCCACCGTCTTGTTGCGCAGTCTGATGATGTCAGAGACAGAGCCGGCTCCACAGTACTCCATGACAATCCACAGGTCTGTGTTCTTAAAGTAGCTGCCATAGTACTTCACTACGTACGGGCTGCCATGAAAAGCAGAACAGAGTTTTCAGAGGAGAAGAGAAAAGTTTTGTTTCAAACTGCAAACAGCAGAAGTGAGAGAACTGTTGTTGATCGACACATCAGGCTGCAACCGCTGATGGTCAGTAAAGTGATTTGAATGGGGAAAACAGGATTTTAGACAATGTTTTATAACTAAATAAAATGGAGGGTTGTTCTCTTCTAACCTGTCACACTGCTGCATGATGGAAATCTCCTTGATGATCTCCTGCAAGTCAGACTCCACAGGCACCTGCTTTATGGCCACCACCTGACCCGACTCCTTATGGATGGCTTTGAACACACTGCCGTAGGAACTAAACACACACACACACACACACACACACACACAATGTCAAAATCTGTCCAGAGTGAATTAGATAAATTGTATTTTAACAGGTTCTTAAAAAGTTCATACTTTTCAGGAAGTGTCAAAAACATCTTACCCTTCACCAAGTTTCTCTAGAACATCGAACACTTCCTCTGGCTGTTTGGTCAAACTATCCTCACTCAGCTTTTTCAGCTTGCTGTGAAAAAAAACCCAACCTTTTATGATTATATATATTTAATCAAATCATAAACAAAATGCAGTACGAGCCTTTGAATACAATTTAGATTGGCTTAAGGCACCAAGCATAAGGTTATGCACAACAGTTAATACAAACTTTGAAATAATGTAATCATAGTATCATCATAGTATAAATGCAAATTCAACATATAAAACTATGAACTAGCTGATTCTAAAATGTTCTACATGCTATTAAAAAAAGTATTGAAATAACATTCTGTTTTGTAAAATTATAATTATATAATTAATCAGTTCAAATTCGATAAATAACTTTAGAAAACTATCATGTTAACAAACAGCATAGCTGCTCCTATTGCGTTAAGTTTATTTTTATTTTATTTATTGCACACAAAAAAAAGAAACATAAACATAATAGAGCAATGGAAAAACAGACAGAAAATAATGATTAGTTAATAAACAAACTATACATTTTGAAAGAAATGTGCTGGAGGAGTTAAATAAACCCAGAGGGGCTCACACTCAATAAGGTGTAAAAGAAAGAAAAACAAGAAAGAGACAAATTAAAGAAAATAAGCTCTTATGGCAGAGAAAGATTATGATGGCGCATTGCTTAATTGGCCAAGTAGGAAATAAATGGTTTGTTTTTTAAATAAGTTGAGGCTGGTACTGTTTCTAATATGATTGTGTAAATTGTTCCAACAATGAAGTCCTCTGAATCTGATGGAGGATTGAATTGAAATATATCTTGAAAACAGACGAGGAGTAAGTTATAGACTGATTGGAAAACAAAAATACATACCTGAAACTGGTTTAGGTTGCAATACAACCGAAGTAAATATGTATACCAGAAACATGAGTGAACAATTATGAGGTTGTAGATTATACTCGTGTTATTACACTGATGTTTGAGACTAATGTCCAAATAACAGCGCAGATCCCTAAAGGCACTAACGAAGCAAGTCATTTAAGTTACTTAACAATAAACAGCGTGGAGATTTATTAAAAGCTTGGCTTGTGATAATGGTGCTTGACTCGAGTGGAAAGTTTGACAGAAAACCAGCTAAACAAATTAGCTTCAGCCGACGTTAGCATTTGAGCTAGCTAGTTAATTACTATGAATCGCGTTTTGATTCAATCAAATGAAAACTAACCTTTTGGGCGCAGACGGCTCCATTGTGTAAACCTTCAAAACCACAAAGAAAACGGGCTGATAGAAAGTTAGGGCAGTTTTATGTCCGACAGTCAAGATCTGAACATTGTCGACAGACTCGTTGTTGTCAAAAACTAGCGGAGGGCCAGCTGAGTCGTCTTCTTCTTCTTCTTCTTTGGAATTTATTGGCAGCTGGCATCCAAAAAGTTGCATTACTGCCATCTGCTGGATTGAATCATTACTCACTTCCTAAATCCTCCTCAATTTCTGTTTTTAATTACAATTTAATTTAATTTCAATTTAATTTAATTTCAATTTCTGGATTTATTTTTTACTCACATTCCTAAATCCTCCTCAATAAACCTGTTCTCAAGAGATATTTAAACAAGCATCTTCGGCCTCTCCCTCTCGCCCCACTCTCCAAAATACTTCTGAAATCTCTTCTTACGAGCTGAGTGTTCGGTTAATGATGGATTTAATGATGGATTTAATGATAGATAGTTTGTGTTGTTGAGTTTTACACTGCGACCCCTGCTGGACTGGAGGTCAACACGTTTTATTAATCTACTCGTGCGCATGTGCGGAGGAAGCGTGTGAGACGTAAATAGCTAACAGGAGGTTTGAGCAAACGATGAATTTTTCTTCATTTAAAATCTTTCCCTTTTGTATATATAATTTATATCAATCATTCTGTATGTTCAGAATTATTAATGATGTTTGTGGCTCACTACTGACGCTGGTTGTGACGAGTTAGCGTCATTTTGTCGTTACCGCCATGTTGTTTCTGTGTCAGCATCGTTAGCATGCTGTACATTTAAAACACACTGAGCCTTCTGTGCTTCTCTTGACTTTTACAGAAACAAAAATGGATCCACAGAAAGAAACCCAGCCACCGAAACAGCAACCCATGATCTACATATGTGGCGGTACATTTGAGTGTTTGCTTGTGTTTATAATACATGCTTCTTCAGCTGTTACTAATGCTAACAAAGTGCCATTCTTCATCTTACTGCTGTCCATTCATGTCTCTTATTATCTGTGGTACCACCATAACCAGGGCTGGAGCAGCGATTTTAAAAGTGCGGGTGTTCTAATGCTTGTATATTAACACCCTAAATGTGTAACACACCACACATTCTGATTCATTTAATGTCCAATAACTAATGTTAGCTGACACATCAGACAACAAGACAAAGTTACAAAAGATAATTAGACACTAACTTTATGAACATCCATTGTGAAATAACCCAGTTAGCTCTAAAAACCAGATTCAAAACTGCTCTTTGTGATGCTTTTATTTTGCTTTTCTTATTGCCTTATGCCTCAGTCTCTTTATTTCCGGTCTTCATATATATGATTGGCTTAATTGTCACTTAATGAATCTTAATTGACCAATAGGTTTTCATCAGTGACTCCACTGGTAAAAAGTGTGGGGGATGAAAATACCTTTCAGTGAAAGTGTGGGTGTCACAACACCCACGGGTGAGACGCGCCTGAGCATAACTATCCTCTTGTTTGGGGTTTAAGTACTACGAGCAACCAATGAAACGTCGGAAAGATGGACCAAAAATACATTGTTATGTTGTTATCTGTCTTTTTCTGTAATTTTCTCTCTATTTTTACCTTCAGAGTGTCACACCGAAAATGAAATTAAAGCCCGTGATCCAATCCGATGCAGAGAGTGCGGTTACAGAATCATGTACAAGAAGAGAACAAAGAGATGTATCCTTCAAAGTTTTATTTCTGTGTGGTAGTAGATTCATGGGGAACTGCATGAAACGTGACCAGTATTCTTTAGCATGTTATGGTACATTAATATTGGATAGTGGTTTGTCTCATATGTATGCCTAATTATTTATGAAGACCTTACTTAAGTATTTACAAACATTACCAATGTTATGAGAACTTTCAGAAGCATGGAGAACTAACATTAACCACTTGATATTATATATTAGTCCTAATATTGCTAATTTCACACATTTTGTGATAGAAATTGTTTTTTTTTGGTGGATAATATGTATGATTTGAGAATTTATTGTATATATCTGCACATTTTCCTTGACTTTCTATTTTCAGTGGTCGTCTTTGATGCTCGATGAAGAGAGGGCGAGCAGTGGTTTTGACAGTTGTTGTTATGTGCTATTTTTGTAGTATATTATCATGTAAATAAATACATTGCCGGTCCTGACATCAGATTACTAAATTGTTCTCAAAACTTGCAATTCCATGTTAGGGCAGTGCTTTTTTACTTTGCAAATTTTGATTAATTGAAAACATTTTCAAATTAAAAACATTTTCTCTTTACCTTGACTCTGTCTCTCTCTTTTTTTAAATTCCTTTTTAATTTCTGCAGATTATCATTCTTATTCCTTTTGGGGGCACCTCTGGATCTATGAATCTGTATGAGTTAACTTTTCCTAATTACATAACCATTCTTAATGAGCAATATACTTATCAGTTTAATTAATGCCAAGTTCAAAGTACTATTCAATGAGCTGATCCATACAGGTTCAGTAGATGCTAGGTGGAATGGATATACCTCATTTAAGATTGTACACATTAGTTTTTGTTTTGTGTATTGTGTGATATTTAATGTTTTACCTTTTTACATAGAGAGCACAGTCTATCTACGTCAAATTCCTTAGCGTGAGCACACCTCGTCAATAAAACTGATTCTGATTTTGAACACCAAAGTAGTCCTCAAAATATTTTTGCTGTGACCCCCCGGAGGCTCCACAAGTTTGAGTGATTGGAAACATAAATAACTACTTTGTTACACTCAGGTAAGCTACTGTAAGCCCTTTTACTGTGTCCCTTCTGTAAGTGATGAACTCTGAAAGTGAGTTCCCTTTGAAGAAGTGTTGTAGCGTTTTAATGGGGCTTTTATTGTGAAATGATAATTCGGTAATGTGAAAGAAGAAATAAAACAAGCGGTTTGCGTCATTAATATCTAATGAAGCCTCCGTAAAATAGTTTGTGAGTCAGTAAGTATTTTGAACACAAACTGAGCCATTGTTTCAGAAAAGTTGCTTCAAATATGTATGTACTGCTGTGTGCATAAATGTATGCTATCAAAATCATGCATAGCAGGTGGGTTTTGTCCCTTTAAAAAGAACCTGCTCATATATTTACAGTCTTCATCCCAAACTCTTTTGTAATTCTCAACTACTTCAAAAATAACCATATATTTTCAAACCAGGACTGCATTAAATGATCATTCTTACTTATTTTCTGTTCTTTTTTGAAGTAAACCTAAATAACTTGAAATCTAAAAAAAAAAAGTTGATTAGGAAAGACAAAATGGTTAAATCCAGGGAAAATGCAAATACATTTCTTCAGGTGTCAATTGAAACCTAATCTGAGGCTCTTCCATCAGAACTGCCCTACTGCAGCACTGCGTCACTGTGGCACTTCCCCCCACTATGACATCACAACTAACATCTCATCCAGGGGGCGTGTCCTAAAGAAATCCCCAGCCAGGAACAGATGCAGCTGCAGCTCCGCGAGAGAAAGAGAGAGGCAGAGAGGGAGGAAGAGAGTTTGAAGACACTGCAGAGGGAGTGCAGCTATGGGGAACACACAGGACAAACCCCCGGGAAGTGGAGGAGGAGGGGGAGGCAGATCACAGCAGACAACAGCAGGGAGCGGGACCAGAAACCGTGGTGAAGGCGGCGTGGGAAAACCCCAGGCTCAGAGAGCTCCAGAGAAGAGATTTACAAATGGCACTCGGAGAGAAAACAGCACCGTGGGTGGACAAGAGGAGCAGGGCAGCCCTGCAGTGGACACAAGTTACCTGGATGCCCCTGCTGGGGCCCTTCCTCCTCACCTGGCCCGGATGAAGAATGAAGGGAACCACCTCTTTAAACATGGACAGTTTGGGGATGCCTTAGAGAAGTACACACAGTCAATAGATGGGTGTGCTGAAGCAGGTGAGGAGAGATATGAGCAGCTTGTGTATTTTCGTAAAGAATTCACCTCATGACCAGTGTTTCAACCAAACAAGAAAGAATGAATCTATACAAAGGAAAATATATGCTAAAAATAATATTTTACTGGAATTCTCTCAGTTTGTAGAAGCAGTCATATATAGGATATAAACAGTGTAGTACCGTAAGTAAACACTACTGACCTAGTCGATGTGAATAGAGATACATGAATAGAAAAAGCATGTATTAAAGTTACCTTCAGTTAGGAGTAGGGCTGATTTTTCCAAAAGAGTTTGTTTGCTTTTTACAAACAGCAACATATCCAAAAATATGTAGTTTTAAATTGTTTGACTGGAAAAATGTACTTTGAGAGGATGACATCTGTTTAGCTTTATTTTCTAAAAATGTGAAAAGAAAATCATTTATATTAGTCAGAAGTCTTACAGTCAAACTTCCATAATAATGCAACTCCATTTATTAAATTATACTTTTTTCACAACTGTTCTGAAATAGCCTTTTCAAACTTGTCACTTTTAGATCAAGAAAACTCTTTAAAACAACTTCTGACTGTGTAATACTCATGTGTTTCAGAAGGAGCAGCTGAGGGGGACTCAGAGACAGACAGAAAGCTAGCTCTATCATCTGTGTCCTGGCCTTTGTAAAGATATTAGATACAAGTTGTCTCAGAGTGCCTTTTGGCTTCACTAAGCACAGTATCTCGTGTCAATTTGAATGAATTATGCTCATGGCTGTCATGCTTCACATTTCAGATCAGTCAGCTGTGTGGTTAAGTGAACTATTTGTGATGTGTTAGAGCACAAAAAGCTGAAGCTGACAACAAAAAATGACGCCATTGGTGATTTGTAAATGCGATGGAGGGTTGGCACCAGATGACACAGCTGACCATAGATAAGGAGTCATGTGACTTTGTGTGGGGACTTTTCGTGAGATTGAATATCACGCTGCACCTTTAAGAGCACTCAGCCAACTTTTACTCTCAACACCGGCGAGAGGGATTGCTTTTTTTTTATGCAACTCCAGAGACATGCTTAAAAAGATTAGACTTAAAGTCAGAGAAGACTTAGCAGAGAGACTCTTAAAGGAACACACTGAAAACAATACATGTGTGTGATTGTCTTTTTTTTTTAAATCATTGTAAATTTGTTCAGGAGTATCAGCACGTTAGTTCTGCAGCAGTGAAGCAGAGTGACTGATGCTCTGATGCAGATTTGAAAGTGTAGTGCAGGTGAAAAGCACAGTTTTGAAATTGACTCTGCCAAAGGGACTGATAAAGGCAAATATATATGTTCTGTCTATCATTAACGCCGTCAGCATATATTCTCCTGATATTTCAAAAGCAAGGATAAAAAAAAATACAGAACATGTTAAAGAGAGCTAATGTTAATGTGAAGAACTCCCCTAACACCTTTGTGTTGTACCGACATCAAAGTATGACCAAAGTGCTCTGTCAGCGTCTGGTCTTTAAAATAACTGTCCAGTGGTTGTTCCCCTCCAGGTATCGACAGTCCAGGAGACCTGTGTATTCTTTACTCTAACAGAGCAGCCTGTTACCTGAAGGATGGAAACAGCACAAACTGCATACAGGACTGCAACAAGTAAGTAGCAGGTGTTAACTCTGTAAACGTTGATTTTCTTTATGTTTTATAATATGTCTCTTTCCGTGTCTGGTAGATCTCCACCATTTAATAAACTGTACTTGAATAACACTGTTGTTCTAAAGATGAGCAGTTTTTAGAAAATAGAACCAGATGTTGTGCTTTTTATTTTATTTTATTTATTTTGTAATATTTCATTTTCTCCAAGGAAAACATTCTCATTGAGATGTAAGATGTCTTTTGCAAGAGAGTGTTATAGCCAAGACAGCAGCATACAAGACTGACAATAAACAAATCTTACATCAATCAACGAATCAGAAGCGTTAAGCAGAGAAACATGTGCACACAGTCGTCAAATTATCCTTTATCCTGATTTTGAAATCTTCCAGCTTAATGCTCAAGTTTAACATGAATCTGCAACTCAGACCAAGCAAACTGTCTCAAAACTGTTGCAAAATTTGGCAGCAAAACTACCCACAATGCAACCTAACTGGTATGGTTGTGTCAGGGGTTTGTTATGCTAGTAACAGAGGTCTCTTTATCTCAGTTCTGTCTTGCTCCCCACACACACACACCCTCAACTTCTTTGTCTTTTAAACTTGTAGTCTTTAGACCAAACTGAGGCCTGTCATCACTTGAAGCAGTTTGTCCAACTTTTCATGCAGAGCTACAAAACGTATTAAACAGAAATACTCAGAGAGTCATTGACATGTGACACTGGATTAGTTCCACTTCAATATGAGTTTTTATGAGAATAACATTTCCCTTTTACTTCAACCAAAATTGTAGGTTTTGTAATTAGGTAACTTTTTTATATTTAAACAATTCTATTCAACTTTGTATGGTTTTGCTGAACTGGCAGTAATGGTTCTGTCCAAAGTCACACCTGACAGAGTTATTTAGAGACTTAACTATGGTCAGTATACATTAGTTTTGTATGGAAAGTAATTTCAAAGTTTCTGTCCATGTCTTGTTTTGCTGCTTTTGCTGTCACACATTATAATTGAAGTCAACTACTTCACATAATTTGCAGTTTTCTCACATGACCTCTTCCTTATTTTTAAGTTGTATTTTTTTATCTAGTGGACCGACACACACTTGATGTCTGTTTCTGGTGTTGTCTGCTGCATGTATTCTACACAATCACTGCACATGTTTATGAATGAAGTGTTACGGATGAGTTCAGTGACACCTGTGACACAGAGAGCAGCTGTAGACGGTTTGATCCTCTCTGTTCTCCGCGTCTCTCTGATCCTCTTAGGGCTTTGGAGCTGCAGCCCTACTCCTTGAAGCCCCTGCTGCGCAGAGCGATGGCTTATGAGTCACTGGAGCGCTACAGAAAGGCCTACGTGGATTATAAGACTATCCTGCAGATAGACACCAGCGTGCAGGCGGCTAATGACAGTGTCCACAGGTCAGCTGAAAACTGCCTAATGGCTACTTTACATTTCATCTGATGATTTATTTTTATCCCAAGAAAAACTTATTTTCATGTTAAAGTTCATTCAGAAGGTATTTCTTTTAACATCTCTATTTCCCCCTCCAAACTTTTAATTTGGATGATTTTTTTTTTGTAATGTATTTTGTTGCATTAGATACTATTCTTTTTTGACATCAAATAGAAATACATCAGTTGTGTGCATCCTTTCATTATACTTTCAACCCCCAGTATGCCCTGCAGAAAATTTGCTAGCTTTCAACCTGTGTGTTTAAACAATGCCTTTACATAACAGGCCTTTAACAAGAGCTTAGCTTGCTAATCATGTGCCATCAAGGCCTAAGAGTCTGCACCTTTTCATTCAAACAAACACTGAAGAGTTGACCTCACTGCGTAGCTCCTCTTGAAATCTGCTGCTGTAGTATTTGGTTGGTAAATCGCTGCTCATTTAAGAGAACCACAGGCCTTTATTTCTGCCTTCATGTGAAGACATGTGAAGAGATTGTAGGTTTGAAGAATGAAAACAATCAGTGAAGGTCTGAAGGTGAGGCATAACTGCGTCAGATTAGGGCAACACATTCAGCACCACGGAGAGGGCCGAGTGTTTGAAGCGTTTGAAATCTTGAACGTTTTCTGTTTTTTTTTAAAATAGTGTACCTTCCAATTTTATTTTAATCCGTGGTCAAACTGCAGATAGATTGGCACTTTAATTTAAGACTTCACAAAAGAATGCGATAAGTTTATAAACAACTAAGTTTCACCATCTTCAAAATTAGGTTTACTTCACAGTCACTATTCCAGCTGACTAAAATACACACTCAGCAACATTGATAGGATAATCAGCAGGGTCTATGGTGAATTGAAATGCTTTTACTGATACACCTGAATGAACATAGAAATGGTTGATATTACATCTGTGGCTTTCCTATTGTGACAATTCATAATGTCTGCTGTGAAAAAAAGGCCAACTAATATTGAAATCTTATGTTAGTTTTATTGCTCTGTAAGGGCTTTTGTCTTGAGTCCAGAATTATTTTTCACACAGGATGATATTGTATCTCCCACCACCCCTTATTGCAAGGCAGTGCAGAGCAGCCTAACCCAACATATCTCCTATAATATCGTATAGTATCGTATCAAACAGTATCGTATCTTATCAAATTGTTTGTTATTGTATGGTGTAGACGTCAATTAATCATTTCTCATTTCTTACTATAATTGACTAATGCTTGGCTGTTACATAATGTTGAAGATAAATAAAATGCATATTTTTGGAGAGAAAGTTTAAATGCGGGTGGAAGTATATCCAGACAGAAAAAAACTGATCAACTTACAAGTAGTCGTAATACTTGGACAATGACTACATGTTCACCTCGTCTAAGCCTCCAACAACCAGCATTACAGCAAATATAAAGATTCCACTTTTAATTTGACTTGTACTCGATGTCTCTTCTCAGGATCACCAAGATGCTAATTGAGCAGGATGGACCTGGTTGGAGAGAGAACCTTCCAGAGATTCCTGTGGTCCCTCTGTCTGTACAGCAGCAACACAGAGACAAACCGGTCAGCGCTGAAGTGGCCCAGGCGCGGGCCGCCAGGGCTACTCAGGACGAAGGTCGGTGACATCACTCGCTTTAAGCTTAGTGAGGGTAATATGTCGACTGCGGGAGTGTACATTTTAAAAAAACGTTTGCTATGGGTATAGTATTGCCTCCTAGGTTGTCTGCTTAAGCATTCACAAACACCTCAACCTGCACATTCTCCCAAAAGACCACTTTTTGTCTTCAAGGTTTTTTCTAACTATTGTGAGTGCCACATTTTTTATTATGAAACTTTTTTACTAATAATGGAATTATAAGGCAGCAACAGCAGAAGTCAGTCAGTGAGAATCAGTGTGTTGAGCTGTGGAGAAGAAACTCCTGCTGAGAGATACTGTGTGAGAAAGTGTGTGTTCGTGTGTCTGGGTATAGAGCATCAATAATGCAAGGTGGTAAGGAGATCCTCACAGTGTAGTGCTGCTGTAATGGAACAATCCAGGTCAGGTTTCTGGCAGGCTGCTCCTGCTCACATAGACCAAAGGCTCCACATGTGTCATCAATTCAAATTCATGGAGTGTGGTAAATATGCTATAAATCTAACACATATACTTGACCATTAATTGCTTTATTTGTATGCACTCATAACATTTCCATACACCGGATATAAATCTTTGCACAGACAAAACCCCAAACTGGGCGAGGCACACACAAACACGTTATCTACAGCACATATACAGATCAGAGGACTTCTCAGAATAGCACACTTCTGTTGCTGGGGAAACCAATGGTGAGAGATTCAACTTGTTATCAGTGGTTAACACCTCATATTCATTGGCTCTGTCCTGACTCGTACCAGCCAATGTTATACTTTTAATTCGTAACATACACCTTAGTCTATATCTCTGATAATCAGGCAAATTGTACTTCACTGAAAAACGGAGGCAGCATTCTGTCTCTGTGCATGTTGTGACCAATGTTTCAAATTGGCTCCTATTTGTAACAAAGACGGAAACTTACTGTTTTAACTGTTTTCATTTAACTGATTACTCACTCAAAAAAAGTCAGAAAAATATGTGTGTATGGATGAGTGTGAGTGTGAGTGTGTGTGTGTGTGTGTGTGTGTGTGTGTGTGTGTGTGTGTCAAAATTAGGTCAAAACAAAAGGCGCTTCAGGTAGGGAGCTGGTGTGCTCGCTGGCACTCACACCTTGTGAATGAGAGAGCTGCAGCTCTGCGTCTGCAGCTTCTTTAGCTGCCTGGGAGCCAATGAGCCAGATGTGCTAACGACCCCTTTCTCACAGTAAAGTAAGGAAACACACAAGGAAGACAGGAACTCCAGGAGGGTGAAATTACAAAATAAAGAATAAACCATGACAGAAACAACTACATACTATCATGTAAACAGTTTGGTCCGCTCCTGCTTTTATCATCTAATGAATATAACTAAACTCAAACCTGTTGTGTCCAAGACCTAAGCTAAAGATGATTGTACATGCTTTTGTTTCATCAAGGCTTGATTATTGTAATTCTGCGTTCACATGTCTTAGTGTCACTTCCGTGAGCCGCTTCAAAATGCTTCTGCTTAGCTGTTGACACAATTATCTATGTGCTCTCATGTCACACTTCTCCTTAAGTCTTTTCACTGGCTCCCCATCAGTTTCAGAAGACAGTTTAATGTTCTTGTTATTGTGTTTCGAGGCCTTGCATGGCCAAGCTGCGGCTTACATCACTGAGCTGCTGAGGCCGTATAACACCAGCAGGTCCCTGAGGGCCTTTGTCCAGGGTCTGCTGGTTGTTCCTCGCACGAGGCTGAAATAAAAAGGAGACTGGTGCCTTTGAGGATGTGAAACATTTTGGAACTGTCTTCCCCAGGAACTGAGAGCCGTGAACTCTGTGTGGACACTTTTAAAAAGCAGTTAATTTCTCATCTGTTTTGACTTCCCCTTTTTTTTTTTATCTTGATATTTGATTTTATGTAACTGTCTGTTTATAAGGTCTCTTCTCAAACCTTTAGTGTGAATCACTTTGTGACGTCTGTTTTTGAAACGTGCTGTATAAACAAACTTTACTCACACCAATAAGGATATCCTCAGGGTTGTCACACTGAAAAATATTAACTGTGACATTCAGTGTCGTACTTATCATCAGTCAGTCTGCTGGTACTGATAATAATGATAACCAGCAGGGTAAACACAGTGAAGTCATGCTGAATCATGAACAGACTCGTTTCCAAGAAATGGATATTAATAACTTAATGAGACTTGGAAATGTTGAACACAAAAATGTTATTTTTCCAAATCTTCTGAACAATCTTTTACATACTATTTTCTTCATGTTCAATGATAAACTCAACAACACTCTATTTTTACTTTCACTTTCACTTCTGTTGAAATGAAACGAATAGCTCCTACAATTCTACGAAGTGATTTAGCACTTGTGTTCAAAGCGATTCAAAGGAGGGAACAACGCCACCATATGCTTCAAGTCCATTCAGACCCAAGTGCTGACAGGAAGTAGGCCTGCACAGAGGCAATGCACAGGGCGTATAAAAATAGATTGTTGTTCTTTTTTTGGATCATCAACAACAACATCAAGAACTTCATCACCAATATCATAATCATCATGAATATTCTAATCAACATAAACAACATCCTCAGTATCATCATCATCATCATAAATAACATAAACAACATCAGTAGGTTCAATATCATTAAGTGCATTTGTGTTCTTGAAAGAGCTTCTGAAATTCCTTTCACCACCCAAGCAGAAGAATGTAGCTCGTGACTTATAGGGCCCTGTTGTGAAGGTAGAACCAGACGCCTTTTATTGGCAGAGCATAGTCAGTGGGAGGGATTGTAAACCTGGATGAGAGAGTTTAAAGTCCCTGTAAAGTAAAATCAGCAATATGTCTCCAAGCACGCTAAATATGTTGCAAGATGATAGCTTTAAACATGTGAAAAGACTGAGAACTATGTTTGACTGATTTTCTCACGTTTCAGCTCTAGGTTTTAATGGGCGGAGCTAAGTCGGGTCGTAATTACGTAGATGGGCGAGGAGGAGCTGTTTTTGTCGCTTTTTTGTAAGCTAGCAACAGGGTTTTGTATTTGATGCGAACAGCAACTGGGAGCCAGTGGAGGGTTATGCACAGCGGGGTGACATGCAGACACCAGACGTGCTGCTGCATTCTGGATGATTTGCAGATGTTTGAGCGTGCGTGCAGGAAGATCTGTCCCTGCCAGCCAATACGGATTTGCATTAGTCGATGCTGATGCATGATATAAAAAGAGCTTGTAACAGGAGTTGTGTAGCATGCTCTGACAGGCAGGGTCTGATCTTTCTGATGTTGTACAAGACAAATCACCATGACTGACTAATCGAGGTTGTACGAACCTTAAAGGTTAGCAGGTCATCAATCATGACACCTAGGTTACAGACACACAGCTTGATTGTTCCAAGCTGGATATTGATCTGTGGTTGCATAAAGGGACACACTGGGATGAAAAGGAGCTCAGTGTTTGAGAGGTTGAGTTGAAGGTGGTGTCCATTCATACATTTAGTGATATCAGCCAGGCATGATGAAATCCTTGCTGAGACTGTGTCATTTGTTGCTATGTGTGCTACACAAAATAAAATAAATCTAGAAAATAACCTATACTGTTTGTATTCTTAAGGGGAGTGATAATCCCATCAGTTCTGATTTAAAAATGTATTTGAAAATATTTTCATGTTTTTTTTTTCATGTAAAGAATATGAAAATCAGATTTTCTTAGTGTTAGGTTATGAGTGTCAGAGATGATAATGAGTGACTTGCTTTTCAATTTAGTGTCACACAGTAGTTTTTAACTCAGCAAGGAAAATCTAAATGGCATGCACATGACTTTTAAACCCTTTCTGAGTAGAAGTTCTTATCCATCTGTGTGACTGTGTTCATGAGTCTGTGGATGTATTTAAAAGTGCCTGTGTGTGTGTGTGTGTGTTTGTGTTTTTGCCAAAGTCATTACACATAGTGGTTTTCTCAGCACAGCAGAGAGCTCAGTAAGCAGGAGTTGACTCATCTCCTTCATTCAGTCAGACTTCTGCTGACAGGCTGATGTTTTTATTGATCCATGCTGAAAAGAAAATCTTTAAAGAAGCTTTTCCTTCTCCGATCAGTTCCCGAGCACAAACCAAATTCAGCCCCTTCAACACGGAAATGAGAAAGTGAAAGAAGAATGTGATAGTATGTTATGACCAATCAGGAGGAAAATATCTGTCTGCTATTTTCATGGCCATATCGTGATCATTTCATGTTTTTTTTCCAAGTGTTTCAGAGTGTAATTTTTTTGCGGATTTCTTCCAACAGCCAGAAGGAAAGAGGCCCGCTTTACTTTACTGAAACGGGAAGGGAATGACCTGGTCAAGACGGGGCAGTACCAGGAGGCTCTGGAGAAGTACAGCGAATGTCTCACCCTAAAACCTGATGAGTGTTCCCTCTACACCAACAGGTATGTGTGAGAATACCCAGGTTTGCAACCTGTCGTACCTACACACACACACACACACACACACACACACACACACACACACACACACACACACACACACACACACACACACACAGACACACACACACACACACACACACACAGTGGGATTGATATCTGCAACAGGGAGGATTTCAACAAGTTGAATCATCCCTTAGATCTAAAAGAAACACTGTGTGCTTTGAAACAAGATGGAGACACTGAACTGAAGGTAAAACAAAGGTATATATAAAAATATAGGGAGCAATATCTTGTGTGAACAAACTGAATACTTCATTTGTGCAGCTTTCTAAAAAGTAAAATCATAAATAAGATGCAACCAATAGTATCCACACACTTTCTAAATCAAGCAGCAGCTCCATATTTCTTAATATTCTATATTTGTATCTTATTTATCTGATTAAAAAAATCACATTCAGTGTTACAGACGTCTCTCAGGATGTCGACTGTAAAGGTATCTGATGATTTCCCTGAAGAACAGTTATAATGAGAAACAGTAGAGGGCACCACATATCACCGCATGTCACCTCCAGTCCATTACTGCTGTTATCTCTGTGGTTAAGATTAAATGTGATACAGCTTGTGTGGTTGAAGGCAGCCATCATCTGATTGGAAACAGATTTTCTCTTTCTCTTTCTCTTTCTATGAGTGGGACATAAAATCAGTTTGTGATCTGTTTTATAACTTTGTGTGGCGTTGATATCTGGATGTAGTTCCAGATAAACCTGCTTTTGTTTGAAAGGGAGTGGAAACATTTCATATAACATTAAAAACAATATTCCTGAGATTTTCTGGTGTAATATATAAACTCTACTCTTGTTAACCAATTTTATTGTAACAGTGGAAATAGTTAACAAAAGGGCCTCATTGAACAGGCCAGAGTGGGAACTCTTGATTGTTGTTTAACTCTGTTTGTTTTGTACTCTGTGTTTTGTGTATGTTCTGTTCTTTGGTGGGAATTTTCTGTTTGGACAGAGATGGTGCTGTGAGGAGGAATTTCCCCATAGGAACAATAAAGTCTAAAATACTGAAGAAGTTTGTTAGCTGTTTGAGTCTGTGCTTTAATGCATGCCTTCCTCTTGTCGATCATCTTTCCATGTTTTCAGTTTACTATCTGAGGATTCTATGGACTTAGCAGTCAGGAGGTTATATACATCTGAAATTATTCCTTTTTGAAAGGGATTTTTAGTTAAAACTTTCTCCTAAAGAGATAAAGCAGGCATGGCCATGGACTGATTTTTGTTTGGATCTTATAAAGTTCTTGAGCTGTAAATATTTTAAAAACTGTTTACAAGGGACATTAACGTTGGCTACTAGTTCCTCAAATGTTTTAATATATTCTCAGTCCCTGGACAAAAAAATCTCTTTAATTTTACTCAATCCCCTCAGCCCACAGATTGAAACCCCTATCAGCCCTACCTGGCACATTAAAAAAATAGTCATATTTATATGTTATTATGCGCAATATTTACCATACATTAGCATTTATTTGCAGCCCCTGCAATGGAAAGGATTGCACTGCAGAAAATGAAAGTTGCTCAAATTATTAGAGGAGTACAGGAGATGCCTGGCTACTTTCAAATTTAAAATTTGGGCAATAGTGCGCTAATCTCTGCAGTCATTAACTTCCTTTGGCAGTAACCAGGATGACAGGTATGGACATGCAGCTCTCTCTGACTTCTCTCTTCTTTGTTCTTCTGTAGAGCCATCTGTCTGCTGAAACTGAGTCGCTTTGCGGAGGCCAAACAGGACTGTGATTCTGCTCTGCAGCTGGAGCCGAGCAACAAGAAAGCCTTCTACAGACGAGCCCTGGCTCATAAAGGTTTACAGGTAAATGTCCTGAACTCAAACATTTTGTGTATTTAAGAAGCTGAATAAAGAACGAGTAGTGCTTATTTGTATTCATTGTTTTTATGCCTCTTCTATGTATGTCACCCTGGAATCCAGGACTACCTGTCAGCCAGCAGTGACCTGCAGGAAGTCCTCCAGCTGGACCCAAAAGTCCGGGAGGCGGAGCAGGAGCTGGAGGTGGTGACGGGCATGCTGAGACAGAGTCTGATGGACAGCACTGCAAACACACCACGGGTAAGGATGGAATTATTCACCCACATGAAAACATCTGCGAGACCACATTCTTTAAGGGAGTGAACATCTTGGTGAATATTTATCAAATAGTTTTCTGTGTTGACAGGAAAAGGTTACATTTATCTTCTTATGATTATCATTGGACATGTCTGGTTTTTAAAACGCAGAAAATACAAGTAAAGTGTATTTGTAGGATTATACTTTACTATATGTTGTAGAGAATATATGTTACTGGTTCAAAACCTTTTTTGGCTCGTGACCCCACTTTTACTTCTAAAAAATCTGGCGACCCTAGACGTCCAAAACAGATACAGCATTTTGCGCAAATGAATTTGTTTTTAATCATGTCATCATTTTTTATAGTGTGTTGCAAGTAAACACTCAATTTAGACCATATTTAGGCTTTTTCAAGGATATTATTATGGACAGAGGAAGAAAGGTTGGGATGACATTTCAGCACAATGGAGGACAGACAGACAGATACTCTGCAAGTTTCTTTTTTTGGCATTGGCTATGGCCCACAGTAGCCTGTGTCCATTTTATTTAATTATACATTTATGTTGTTGATCAATAAATACACATTTCAGGTGGCCCCATTTCATTTACATGTGACCCCAAGGTTGGGAAAGCCTGGCGTATGCGTTAACAGAACTTTTTTCTTTTTCTTTTCCAAAAACTGCTTAAGCTGAAATCCCTCTTCTCAATCAGCTTATTTATGTGTAGGGAAATCAAACACTGAAGACAATGAATGAGCACAACCGATAATGTTAGAGAAATAAGATGTAAAATGCTTATTGTGCAATAATACTGGAGTAAAAACAGGCTGACTTGTCCTCATTTCCTGCAGGTTTGAAGTTTGTTTGTGGAGCCATATGGGAGCAGAGTGAGGCGACAGGTGTGGACACAATAGTACTGTAGCAGTAATGGAGGAAAAGGACTCTTGAAGCCATCATCTGCCATAAGTATGACCTGTAAAGATGAAAATGACAGGCATTAACGTCCTGGGACAGCTTCTCAGACAACCAGTTCTGCACCATCCGCGGTGTGTGCACACACCACACCATAACTCCCTGAGTACACAACCTTACATAATGGGCAGCTTTTATTTGAAGAGGCTAATGTCAAGGTACTCGTGGCCTGCTTGCACTGAAAGTCATTCACATTATGATGTAATGTACTGTGAATACAGATTCTTGTAACAAACCGCAGAGCTCTGTCAAATGGTGGAGTAACACCAGGAAAGCAAGAGCGTGTTACGTGTGCCTTATTAAGATTTCTATCTGAGTAAAGGATACAACAACAAAAAAAACCCCGCCAAGAATGAAAGTCTGAATTTGTTTGAAGAGGTTGGGTTTGGTTCACTGAGCTCATAATAAAAGCACTGTCAGAAACAGCTTCAGCTTCACTGGATTGTCGATGAGAAATTCAAAAGATTCAAAAGATCCACTACAATCTTTATCTGTCCAGAGGTTCTGCTTTTACAGTTATTTACAGTTTATGTTTAATTATTTTTAAAAAATCCAACAAGCTGTTATAAAATGTCTACAGCTAGGGAGCTTTTCAAACGTAGGGAAGCCAAGAACGACCATGTCTTAATTTATCCCAGGTGGACAAAGCTAGTTTCCTTGTGATAATGGGTTCATTTGAATTGTTATCCCAAGAAAACAAGACAATGTTTCTCTGAAAAAAAACAAGAAAAAAACAAGTTTTCTTGCAGTCCTTGGATAACCATGGATGACTTGTTATACACTACATTTGAGCACACCTGATTAGCTGTTTGTAAAGATTCATAACTGAACTGTATGTCCAGGAATACATTTTCAGATCTTTTGGTTTCATTTTCATCTTTTGAGCAGACAGTTTTATTTATATTAGCTGAAGAAATGAGCTGCTACAGTTCTCAAGACGCCACCTCTGCATGCTGACATGCTGCTTCTGATATCTGATCAACATTAAAGGTAATGTGGTGAAAACAACCGATAGTTTTCTCCTTATAATTGGTTGATAATCTGGTTATTTTAAAACACACAGCTTGAGCTCAAGATGTCATGCTTTTGACGTTAAGGCATAAAAGAATAATATGAAGCATGGCTGTTCTCAGTTTCCATCAAATTGACGTGTTCTGACGTGACTATAATCAAAGATGTAAAAATAAGAATTTCCCAAAGGTAAAATATCAAACAGCACGCACATTCAAAAACTTAAGTACTGGGTGCTGAACAAAAACATGTGCAAAGGTAGAAAAAATAGTCCGCACACCACAAGCTGCTCCAATTAAATTAAATTTAATGGACAAATTACCACCTGTAAAGTTTCAGGCCCTCGCCCATCATCAGACATGAACATGGTGGTCATTTTTCCATTCGATTTAATTTAATTGGAGCAGCTTCTGGCGTGCCGACTGTCTTTTTCTACCTTAAAATATCCCAAAAATCCCGAGCTCAGAAGACATCTTTAATTATAAATGGTCACTTCCTTGTTTTTGAAGCTGCTGAATTTAGCATTACATGTTACTTCATCATGTACTGTAAGACTTCATGTAGGTCTCAGGTTCAACCTCGAATGTAACCAGAGGACTGTCCTTCTTTGTTTGTGAATAGGTGTACAGTATTTTATTTTTTGGGAAGTCTCTTCAAAACTCTGCTTGATTTTCTCAAGGCATCTCTTGTGAATTTTTTTCTGTTACTAAGAACACATCACCCTCATTTTTTAACATTATAAATCCAACTTTTACCGCTTGGTTCTCACAGTAGAAAGAAACACATTTCAGACTGGTTTGAAAAATAATAAGGGACAAATAGACTTTCCTGGAATCAATCATTTACATCAGGGGCCATCCACTACACTTGTTCAAGGGCCAGCTGTTTTCTTGACAGACACTGAGGGGGCCGGACTTTCAAATATTCTTGCACATAAGTCTGACAGCTGTCAACCCGATGTGAAGACGTTGGTCAGAGGGGAAATTTTATTTCTTTCATTAACCTAATTTGAGTATTTCAGCCTTGTGATTTTATTTTTTATGTTTATTGTTTTATCACCCGAGATTATTTATATTCTGGGGGCCGGATGGGAAGCTTTGGGGGGGGGGGGGGGCGCAGATCAACTGGCTGCCAGTTGAAGATCACGGATTTACACTAATAATTAAAAAAATCAAAATCACTGAAAACAACTTTCTCTATGTTCAGGGCCTTTTATATTGTACTTGAACTTACCCTTATGCGTTAGCTACCCCCTGCTAGCCTTTCACTATGATGTTAATCTTTAAACAGCACAATGTGCCACAACCTTTATTTCATGAAGTATAATGTTTTCTTTCTCATAGATTTTCTTGTGTTTTCCAAATCAAAGCATTATTTTAAGCTGAATGAAAGCGCTTGACATGAGGTTTGAAGTGCGACTTCATGGAATGTAAAGCGCATGTAACGTATGTAAATAGTTGGAATGCAAATGTAAATAATAAAACCGCTATGTGGTTGCTTTACTGAGCCTTTGTCTCTGCATCTTCTTTTATATCTGAATCATCAAAGAAAGGGAGAATGAACACATGAACAGTCGCCAAGTTTGATTGAGAGTTTTATTGTTTAAAGATATGCATTTACATGCACATTATAAAGCAAATAATTAGGGAATATATCCTTTTTTCTCAAGGAGTAAAAGCTTCTTTTGACCAAGTTAGAAAATAGACCTGGCACAAGTCTTCAAATTAAAATATAAAAACTCACAGGTGTTTAACAGAGGGAACAAAAACAAGTGAGAAATTGAGGAGCGTGACTGCTCTGATGACCAAATCTTTATAACAACGGCTCAGCTGAACATGTCTGAGGCTTTAAACAACTCTGAATGATCACTTTGGATAAGAACAGGGTTTTATTGCTAACAGGAGCTGATGAACAACCCAATGTATGCTTCAGTGCCTTTTTTTTTTTAAATGTTCAAAGGAATATTTCTAAAAGTAACTAAAATCCAAACAAATTTTTTGGTCTTGGAATTAAAGCTCTGCTCTACAAACAGGTTCAATCCAGAAGTGAGCTGCTATTTGTTTTTTTCTTCTAATGTGTAGGAGACAGTTTTGGACCTTATGGGCTAAACGTTCCCGGTGTATTAGATTGAATTTGACTAATGTGTTCTAGTTTTAACTGTAGTAGCCTGAAAGCAGTCTTTGGTAGGCTAAACGAGCTAATGAGAGAGCTAGCGTTAGCACTCAGGAGGAGGTGAGTATTTAGCACGAGGATTTATGCATTTAATGAGGCAAATATAATTCCTTGTATAGTGATTTTTTTATGTTAATCTTTTGAAGAAATACATAACGATGACATGTAAAAAAGAAATGAATAAAATGTTTTATCCCCCCAAAGGCACTTTGGGTCCAACAAATATAAAATCAGTATTTGCATGAATCCATTGAAGGGATTCAAGGAAGAAAAAAAAACACAACACATTGTAGTTATAATACACCAACAGAGCTAAATTAGGAATTCAAACTTTGCTTTTGATTCTTACTAAGGGAGTATCAACATCAGAACCCCGTTATCATCATACATTCACTACTGAATATTCTCTCACTGACAGACGGAGGTGCTCAAATACACAGGAGCAGTTTCTCATTGCACCTTTAATTATATCAGAGCTGACATCAGTGTCATCTTCCTCATTGCCAATATATTGTTTAGTTGGCTTTCCAGTTTGAAAGGACTGGTTTTGAGAAGTGGTACAAATTGCTACAGTTATAATGGTAAAGGTTGGGATTCTCTCAGAGATGTCGGATTATGGAATTCCCTGTAATTACTTTAATAAACCTAACCTAACTGATCCACCAAAACGGTGGAGAAAATGTGTTAACATAGGCCAGTTGTCAGCTTTCTTAAATTTTCAATACATATATAAAAAGTAAGGAGGGTAGGTAAGTTTGGGTCGCAAACACAGTTCACACCCTTTAACACTAAAATTGTGGACCCAACACAGGGCTTGAACATTAAAACCAACTTTCCCAAAATGGAAAATAAAAATAAGCAAAAAAGACAAAAGCACAAAAACAAGAGTCACATTTTTAACAAAAACAACAATAATATATTTTGCTTATAGAGGATTAAGGAAATATAAAATTTGCTACTATATTGACTGGTCCCTGTCAGGTACCACAATCCTTTAGCTGTGTGGTGTTTCTCATGCCATTTTTAAGAAGTAGCAGAGTGAACTGGTGGCACAGCGGTGGACCACAGTGATGACAAATCCATCCCTGAATCATGCAAAAAAAAAAACCCAAAGAAAAGCTGATTCTTGTAGATGTCAAAAAGGGAAGAAAAAAAAAAGGTTGAGGCTTTAAGGTAGCAGCTCAACTTTTACTTTGAAAAGTAAAATCAGACATCTGACCTGCTCCTAACCCAGCTTGATCAGTTCTGCGTTTGTCAATTTGAGCTTTGATTAAGAAAAGCAATCGGGGGACAGACTTTGCAGATCTTCATAACAGCTGGATGGGCTTTGTGTCTCACCAACCAGGTAACATACCTACACCTGTCCACATACATCCAACTCTACCTACTATAAACGTTGCTTCTCCACTTGACACTTCAACAACAGAATAGAACTTCTGCTTCACACCTTGCTTTAACTTTCATGTGCTCCTTTTAACTTTACTCAAAAATGTCTCTCCAACTTGGACCTGGACCTTTTCTGTTACTGTGTAGACTGACATTCACATAACATGTCTGCCTCCACAGCAGATACAAAAATAAGTAGACCTCTATCTGTAGCCTTTAGCGTCCAAAGATGCTTCACCAAAGAGTGAAACTAGGTTATAAGGCTAACTTATTTAGCAGTAGTAACACTGCCCAAACACCCAAAGAAGGCTCCTTTAGATGTCTGTTTGTATACAGCGCTTCCTCGTCGGGCTTACAGAATGTGCTGTAGTGTTTTTGGTCGTCTCTTTTATTTTCTTGTCTTTCTCCGGATCTGTGTCTGCCATGGTGCCTTTGCTCTCCTCACTGATGTACAAAAACGTCCCACTGCCCCCCTCTTTTGGTGAAGCGGGAGGAGATGTGGACAGCAGGCGGTGTGTGAAGGCTGTGCGGCTGCTCTGAGGTGGATGATGCTCCAGGCGGTCGTGCTCCACCTCGGGCATTGGTGTGATGTTGACATCATTGAAGGCGGCGGCGGCGTTGTTGGGATGATGAGATTGGGGGTCTATTGTGGTGGAGCAGGGGGGCTGAGCTGGTCTTGAGGTTTCGGGATCTGAGCAGCTGAGCTCTGATGAGAAGTGGCTGCAGTGCGAGTCTGCCACAGAGGGCAGGCTGCCGCTCAGAGACGGAGAGTCAAACTCAGACGAGTTGGTGCTGCGCTGCTCCAGGAGCTGAGCATCCAAATCGCCTCTCATCTCGTTGATTTTTGTTTCTCCCTTGCTGCTGCTGCTACTGCTACCTCTTTTCCAGAGCTTTCCTTTGCTCCTCTTGCCCCCTGAAGTGGAGGGTATGGAGAAGGGGCAGCAGTGGTGGTCGTGCTGCGCACAGCAGCTTGATGACGGGCATGAACACGCTCCGCCGCTAGCACCTTTGAGGCCGGCAATGCTGCTGCTACAGCTGGCTTCATCCAGGCTGCTGCTGGCGCTGCAGTGCCTCACCTTCTCCTGTTTGGACTCCACGTCTGCCTGAACTTCCAGACTGTTATCTCTGCAAAATATAAACACACTTTCATTACTGCTATACTTGGCACCCATTTTGAAAATACACTTGTATATTTAGCAAGCATAAAGTAACCGAAGTGACCAAAGCAATCCTGAGTAACCACTCCTTTGAGCCAAAAGCTCCGAGCAAACTAGTTTATGATTAAAAAACAAAACAAGGACTTTGATTCAAACTATCCGACCCCAAGGAGTCTTGTAAAAAACTCTGACAGAGATTTAAAAACAAGGTCAGAAATGTTCAGATGGAGTCAGGAGAATGAGTCAACTCTGGCTGCTGACCTTTCCAGAGGCATGTAGGCATTGAGGATGGATCCCGCCATGGCTTTTGTGCTTGCGTTGTCACTGATTGTCCCAAGACTGACCGTGGCAGACTCTCCACTCAGACTGCAGCGCTCCTTCTGGACATCAGCCTGAACTTCCATCCTGGGGGGGAAAAAGACAAGAGACATGAGAACTAAAACAATAAGTGTCTGCATGTGTGCTTTACAAAGTATAAAATAACTAAATAAATAAACAAAATGAAGCCATTCAGGCTCTCTCTGTGAACATTTCTTAACAATTAGGACAACATCCCGGTCTATTACCTGTTGTAGCAGCTTCCTGAGAGGCTGCCTGTGATGCTGGTCCCAGCGAGTGCCGTGGTGCTAGCGTTGTCGCTCATGTTGTCCCGCTGGGTTGAGCTCATGCCGCAGCGCTCCATGTGGCTCCCGCTGACACTGAGGCCCGTCAGGCCGCCTACACTCGCTCCGTCTCCGAGGCTGGGGTTGTTGAGACGCGTCTCAGCCACTGAGGTGGTGTCTGAGGAGGAAACAGGAAAGCTTAATTGTATTATTTTTACACATTTGATACGTGTTCAGAATGTTTAAGTGTTTAAGTTTGATTAATGCATGTGATGCAGTCGTACAGGTGTTGTGATTGCGTTTCATTTATCATTGTCTCAATATCAATCAAAATCATCATGATTCAGATTTTTGCCTAGTTGAGCAGCCCTCGTAAGGTACTTATTTTGGTGAAGTAAAAGTGTAATTTGGCTTGAGAAAATAAAGACAAACGAGCCATCAGATAACAGAAAACAAAAGTAACAAAGGTAAGTTTATTCAGCTGAAGTTGATTCAATGAGTCACTGCTATGCAGGCCTTTAATTAATCCTGTAACAACAGGACGATGACATGTTGGGTGTGACTAAACATCAAATATCACACCTCGTGTTCCTGGAAAGGCCAAAGTCCAGGCTGTCATTTAGACTCATAATTATCATTGGCTTTGTTGACAGACGCAATGAGAAACCCAACCCATTCTTTCCTGTCTCCCTGAACGCCTCTTGGGGAAGAAAAAACCAGCTCGACCTCAAAGGGCTTCAGTTTGACAGAGACAAACTGACAGTGACTGGTCACATCGCTGACATCGGGCCAGCCATTTAACACCACAAACACCTACCTCCCATCAGCTGTTTAGGCTCTTTATGGGCTATTTATAATCTATAAATACACAGAAAGGCAGTGAAAGACAAATGTGTACTTTTGTCAGCCTAACAGAAGCTAAAAATATGCCAGAACATATGGGGCACCACAACCCAGCCGCTGGTATTTACCAAATAATCATGTGCTGTTGATGACCTCAAAGGGAGATTGTGCAATTATACTGACACACAACAGAGTCAACAGTGACTGTATGACAGGAGAGGAAATGTTTGAAGTATATTTGAAAGCTTGGCTCGTCCTGAGTCAAATAACCTACTTGGGATTAAGGTTTAAAAAAGGGAGTTGGGACAAAAAGTTGAGAAGTGGAAGAGAGTTAAGCAGCGAATGA